AGAGATTCAGGAATGAAGCGGGGATTGATGGATGGGGAATTTAATTCTCCATCGAACAGCATTGGTTTCATTCCTTAATGTTAATTAGGAGCAGAGATACGATTTTTTAATTAGCGGGCGAGTTGTCGGGAGTCACTGCGCCGAGAAACCATTGAGTTTTTCATAGCGCCGCGACTTTCGTCGCAGTTTTTATTTTTTTATTACAGAGATTAAGGAATGAAACGGGGGTTGAAGGATGGGGAATTTAATTCTCCATCGAACAGCATTGGTTTCATTCCTTAATGTTAATTAGGAGCAGAGATACGATTTTTTAATTAGCGGGCGAGTTGTCGGGAGTCACTGCGCCGAGAAACCATTGAGTTTTTCATAGCGCCGCGACTTTCGTCGCAGTTTTTATTTTTTTATTACAGAGATTAAGGAATGAAACGGGGGTTGAAGGATGGGGAATTTAATTCTCCATCGAACAGCATTGGTTTCATTCCTTAATGTTAATTAGGAGGAGAGAGACGATTTTTTAATTAGCGGGCGAATTAATGGGGAAGCGCTCTGCGCCGAGAAACCATTGAGTTTTTCATAGCGCCGCGAATTTCGTCGCAGTTTTTATTTTTTTATTACAGAGATTAAGGAATGAAACGGGGGTTGAAGGATGGGGAATTTAATTCTCCATCGAACAGCATTGGTTTCATTCCTTAATGTTCATTATGAGGGGAGAGACGATTTTTTAATTAGCGGGCGAGTTGTCGGGAGTCACTGCGCCGAGAAAACATTGGGTTTCTTATAGCGCCGTGACATTCGTCGCAATATTAATTTTTTTATTGCAGAGATTAAGGGATGAAACGGGGCGTGATGGATGGGGAATTTAATTCTCCATTGAACAGTCTTTGTTTCATCCCTTAATATTAATTAGTCGGCGAATAAATCAACTGAAAAACATAAAGTAAACATTGAGTACAAGGAGGACAAAAGTACCCCTCCGAACCTGTCCCTGTGACAGCGGGACTGCTACTGCCGAGTTACTCACGCACCCGACTCATTTACCGACAATTCGACCGGGACGCCGCTTTTCCCGCGGGGTACCAAGAGAATCAGAACAAGTGATGCCATCTCTGCGATACACTGAAACGAAAACTCCTAAGGTACCTTCCTGCAATATCATATTGACGGTAATATACCGACATTTTTAAAGACCGACATTTTTCGGACTAAATGAAGTTTCTTCGATTCGAAATTTATACTTGCACAGTATGTCCAAGGTATAAACTCAGATGGATGGAACAATTATCATAATGATACGATAGAATTATAAAATCATGAAGAGTTCAGGTGTTGTATTGCTTATACCATGTATAACTCTTTTTGTCGACCTGTAGAGTATCGTAAATTAATTAAATTAGCAGCAAGAACATTTTCACTTAACTGCGATAGCACGACTATCAATGTCTCACTGATTTGAAGTTGGTATCTATTCCGATGAAATTGAAAGTAAATTCTCCTTTTTCGAAAATTGACTGCTGATTATCTTGGAAATGAATAGAATTATAAGCAATTATTTTTAGTGAGTATAATACTTCCACGTATCATACTTCCAAAAAACCATCCAGGTAGGAACAGTTGCATTTGGCTGAAGCATGACAAAGAGAGTTTGCAGGATATAATTTGATACCATGCAGTCGATTCACGAATAAAAGGACATATAATCTCACTTTTTGGTGGAATACTCGGAATCACATACGTATTATTCGAAAATTGATATTAATGTACATTCTCACTGAAGGAAAATTGTTTTATCCACTTATGTGTAATTTTTTATTCTTTTACAATTTCAAATTTTGTGAGAAGACAAATTTGTAGAACACCATTTTAGTAAACAAATTATTGAAGCGTACAACTGAATGTCCCATATTTAATGGGATATGAACGGTTATGAGACTATTATCAATTTGTACCAACCATAGTGATAGAAATGTTTAATTATGAAAAAGGAGCTTTGTGAAACTTTAATATGACGAAATATGTTTGTTTTCAAAGCTGTCCACCGTTGACATATAGATATTTTGACAGCGTTTCGTTATACACCGTATGGACCATGAGTATATTTGAATTTTGGCGCTTCTATTGATATGTCACTAGCAAAGTGGCGGTCATGGGGGTCACCCTTCAGAAAAGCGATTGAAGCACCACCTATAACACTTCATTACCCCGAGTATGGTCTCGGATCGGAAAACGCTAGTTCGGCCTCCTGTTCTCTATTCTTCATGGTTGTAAGCGGGAGGTCACGCAACGTATTGGTGTACCATAAGAGAGGCAGGGTGGCGCACGCAACGGCGAAATGTGGAAAAGCGTTCGGGAATGTGTGGCGCGCCCTGTGTGTAGTACTGACGAAAATCCAATAAAGTTTTTGGTAAAGTAGCGCAAATTAGTTTGAATTCAATTTTATTTTGACTTCCGATGAGGAATAAGACCATTCAAGGAAAATAAGTAATTTCTCTTCAATAATCTGTTGAGTGTTTTTTTTTTATTCTTCCCCTGTCGTACGCAATATTCATTGTTGTTTATTATTAATTTTCAATTCCTGTCTGAGGTTCGTCTACTTTATCGGGTTTTCTTCGAATTTCAAATTCACGAATGCACATAAGTACATACAAAGGTGGTAGTTGTCGATTTTTCAGCAATCCTAAGATTCCGTACCATAAATACCTGAAACAAAATATGACGATGAAATCTGCCAAATGAACTTTCAATGATAATAATGGTATACTATTATATGATGAACAACAATAATAATGTCACTGAGAGCTGCCGAGTGCCATTTCGTACGATAATAAGTAAAACATTCATTATCTCGAACAAAACCCAAAATAATCATCAGAGAATAGTTCGGTTAGTTACTGGACTATCACATACACCCAGATAGATCAGCCCTCACAATTTGCCACAAACAATATTCCAAGTAAAAAGTCGCTGCGACGATGAGGGATTGGTCTACGATTTCAGAAGGCAATGATACAACACTCCAAAGACAAATCATGTTCATAGAAACGTTGGATAAAAATTGATAATGAGCTCAAAGAGCGTGATAAAATGGAATGTTTGCGTACAAGGCAATGTAGAGAATGTTTTTGCAGATAGTAACGAGATTTCCTCGGTCAGTTACAGGTCTGATAAAACCTTCATTGGTTTCACCCCCACCGATGACCTTCCGTTTATTTCCACGATGCCGACATGATTGAAAATTTGGAGTTTAACATGAGCAAATTTCATCATTTTATGTCCCATATCAATGGGAATTGCGCCTCACGTTCAGTGCAGTTGAAACGCGTTGCTCGGCGCGGGTCCCAGCATAATCCGCTGGACCCTTCATGTTGTAACATCGGTTTTTATACTGCGGTACGTAGCAGCCGAGTGATAAATGAGGTGGTGGGGGCTTGAACGCAGTACCTGCACACTCATAGGTACTACGGGTCATATACAAATCGAATGCACAACTCAAAAAGAATAGCCTCGCTGAGCTGCTTTCTGAGATTCAAAGGAACTCTTTCACTGCTTGTGTCTGTATCTGTATGTCTCAGTGTGAATGTGTTCAATAGTGGGGTAGTTCATAGTTAACTGAAGCGTTGACGCTTGCTACTATTTCTGTTTCGGTCCAATCCCCTCGCCGCAAAGGTCGTATGTGGCAACAATATGGGCGTAATTTCGATTATTCGAATAAAATAATGAGGAAAAGCGTAAAAAAAATTATATCACTGCAAACATTCATCATTATAATTTGCTCTTTTTGTCATCACTACGATTCTCGATAATTAAAAAATATTTATCTTTCATTACTTACATCCGTATTCTGCTTACTTTACATTCTGTTCTCTCAGTAACTATATGTTTTGTATCCAAAATTTCAATTTTTGGCTGAAGGCAGATTATGGCCATTTTAGAGATATTTGCAGCAAATTCTATCGATAATAATAAAATGAAAATATTTTTGAAATTAAGTAATTTATGGGGTAGGTGATTCAACTCTAAGTTATCGCTGTTATTCCTTTTTCTTTCAAAATTCGAATTGCTTCTTGCATCCAAAAATCATTAATCATCAACCAAAAATGAACGACTTTGAAATAATTCTTATTTCAAACCGATTGCTGATGTTTCTTATTATCGAATAGAATTTCCTTTATCATATTAATTTTCAGATTTTGGTCACTTCAATATCGTAGTTGATTTTATGCAGTGTCGGCCAAGAAATGGTTACTTTATCTCTTCAATCTTCTTCACTTTCCAATTTCAATATTTCACCAATGAAAGATCCTATGTGGTCGTAGAACGTTATTTGTGACATATTGTATACACGCCATTCAAAAGGATGTATATATCCCTCTTCCCAATCGCGAATCATATTTCTCATCCGATTCCTTGTATCCGGGACAGCATTTGCTATATGCATCAACTAATACCAATCATGAAATATTTAATTAAATATGTAGATAATTCAGATTCATCTATACATCAAATTATCAATTTACCCTACGTCCACTCAGTGATGATTCAATANTTATACATCAAATTATCAGTTTACCCTACGTCCACTCAGTGATGATTCAATATCTGATTCAAGATCTTGTCCGAATATTGCAAAGTTATAAAATTGAGTCAAAGCTGTGCAAAATATGCAATAATATATTGCTCTCCCGCTCATGTAGTCCACATCAAGAGAACATCTTATGTAGCCAGTGAATCTGAAAATTGAAATATCAAAGTTCATTCACCGACACAAGAAGAGTATGAACTGCAGAATCATTTGAAAGTTAGACACTGTTAACTTACGAACGAGGTTCCATTGATAAAGATGTGTCAGGATTATGTGCTAGTGTGAAATTCACATTCAAATTCGCCATTATTGTATTTCAACGTTTGGAATTATTGCTGAAGAGAAAACAATGTCCGTAATTGCTCCAATGACGTTTGGTGATTAATTGACATTAATCAATCGAGGAAAAAACAAAAGACCAAAAAAAAAGAGGAATTCTGACGAATCAAACCTTCGAAGGTACATGTATTTATATCAAAGCTTCAAATTCCATTTAAAAATATGAATCAGTAAAATAGAAAAATTATCATCGTATCATTAAAAGAAAAGATACAAAATGAAATAAAAAAATAAGAATAAAGCCCATCCGGAAGCAAATTGCCAATTCATTGGCAGGAATAAGATTTGAAAATGACGACAGAATATGGCAATGTCCTACTTGTTGATTAATTTTTTTTATATATGTTAATGGGAACCAAATAATTGTAAATAACTAATCTACTAAAAACCCTTGATATTCTTCATATATACCTCATTCAAAATGTTGATGACATTCAATCGCAGACTCCTAGGAGTGATAAAAAAAAATTGCCGTCATTTTCATTGGAGCCTATAAAAACAGATAAAAATAGATCAAGTTATATATACATTGAGCCATGGCGATGGTCGTTCCTAGCACAAATGAATCGGTATTTCACCTTTGAACTATGGTTTTTAATGTTGTATGCCTCCTTCGTTCCAGAAAGTAAGATTACGGGCTTCAGAGTGAAATATGATGGAAATATTGATTTATGCACTCCAAAGCCAATCACGATGATGATGAATAGAACAAGCAATCTAAGGAAATGCATATTCCTGGGATTCATAGAAAATCCTTTGCTCGTTAACTGCAACATCTTCTGATTAGGTTATGACCCAATTCTCTTCTTAATATGCCACGTTGGATAGAATAGCCTCGAGGTACTACGCAATTTCTCCTTAATATCTGGAAAATAATCTTCGTTGAATATTCGATTCAAAATTATAGCTTCATTCAAGTAGTAATTATTATATTTTCGTCAAATACTATAAGAGAGTGGGGCAAAATGTGGATACATTTACCAACGAGCATGACTCATTACATTGTCAACGAAATGGAGTAATTCCTCTTCCAAGGAAAAGGACAATTCCTCTTTTTGTTGATGAGCCTAAATTGAACAGATTCGATTAATTGGAGGTGTTCTTTAACACTGATGCGATTAATAATTGTAATAATGATAATAAAAATATCTCCTTTCATGTACTCACATTGTATGCTTCGCTGTGTCATCCGCCATGAATAATTAATTTAATCGGAACTAAATGGGGAGACAGTTTGATATAGTTTTGATCTGCGATGGATATTTACAATTAATGTTACTCTCACCGTAATTAGAAAACAATTTAAACAACTCTTGCTCCAAAATGGAGTCTCGTTTGCTCCAAAACGAAATGCGTCAGGAAGGGGGGTGATATCTCAGTGGTGCCGTCACGTGACTTATCCCTTTTATTTTTATTCATCATTAATAATTCATTATCGGCCTATAGTAGTTTCCCAAATAGAAACAACGAATTCCCTAGAATTCCCTAATTATTTTAGATCGATTAGAGTAGAAATTTTGTTTTTTTCATGAATGTTCGCCAAGTATACGGTGAATTAATTTTTTAATGATTACTAATCAACTATTTGTTCCTAAATTACGAAAAGGGTTTCCTAAAATTTCCCAAATTATTTCCTAATTATTCCATGCATTGATTTTGGAAAATATTTAATTTGTTCGCCAAGTATACGGCGGTGATGCGGACCCTTCGCTGTGCTATCGCTCGAGCTCTCGCCATTTATAGAGAGGAGAGAGTGAAGCTAGACCCCTTACCGTGCTATCGCACGAATTCTCGCCATTTGAAGAGAGGCGAGAGTAGATATACGGCGACGGTTCTGGACCACAAAACCGGAAGTGACGTCATGAAAACGGCGGGAAATTTGAATTTCGCCAAACCGGAAGTCACGTGATGGTGCGAACTTTGAAATTCTTCCTCTAGGGGGCAGGAGGGGGGAGAGGTCGCGTAACTAACCGGATGTGACGTCACAAAAAAGGCGCGAAAATTTGAATTTTGCTGATAATGGAAGTGACGTTTATTTAATTCTGCTGCTAAGGGGGTAGAAGGGGGAGCGCCCACGTGACCAACCGGATGTGACGCCACAAAACAGCCGCAAAAACTTAAATTTTGCTGGAAATGGAAGTAATGTGTATGTGGCGTCATATTTTTATCATATGGCGAGGAAGGCGATGGGAGGGGGTAAGCACGGATAAGAGAGGAGCAAAGGGCGAGCGCAGCGTCGAAGTGAAGGCTCGAGAAAGGGAGGTCGTGAGGGGAGCGGGGCGCAGTGTCAAAGTGATGGTTCGAGGAGGGC